TGTAAGGGTTCTTTACATAATAATTATTACCAACGCAACCAATGTATAATAACTCAATTACCAATTCTAATCAATATGTAAAGTTGAACGGTCTACTAGCTCTTCATTTCATTCAACTAATTCAAATGGAAAATTACTAACGATATTACCATCCGCAGGTTCGAACAAAAAGAAATGCAGCATCGTTCAATAATTTAAACAACAAATTCTAGCTTCAGTAACTTTAAGTAATGTCCCTCGACCCAAAAATTCTTTGAACATAACAGTTCAAATTCTTTGGAATAAAATAAATGATTTTAAATTCCTAACTTACTCTTAAATTGTAAGATCCCGCTGTTCTCGTCACAAAAAATAAAAATAAGTTAAATTCACCAACCGACAAACAAATACTTTACAAACAAATTTCCTAATCACTAGTTGAATTACATGAATTACTAGTCAAAAATAATCAGTCAAAATAAGTGAACAATTAAATAAGTCAAAGTTAATAAACTTCCGGTAAAGTAGCCAGTAAAATACTACGTTAGAATTTTAATGACACAGGAATCCACACTTATCGCGGGAAAGGAGCGTGTTCATTAGTAGAATAATGAAGAGTACCCAAGTGGAAATTTTGGTCAAGTTCTAGTCAAGACTGGGTCAGGTCATACTTCATGATTGATCCGGAAGTGACACGGTAACTGGATCTGGATGGATTTTGATCAGACATGTAACGCAAATTTAAATCAAGACTTGATCAAACTTTTCTGATGCGGTTTAACGGTTCCGGATTTGATCAAGTCAAATGTATCTAAATCGGATGACTGGAATATCGAAAACAATAATAAATATTAACCATAACTCACTTAAAACAAAAGATTATTATTTTTTTTTATTTTATCTGACCGCTCTTAATGAAGCCCGATTGTAATTAGCGATGAAAAAATCCTATTATTTTTGACAATGCTGGGGATCGAACCGAGGAACCTACGATTACTAAACCTACGCCCTAACCACTGGACTACCGCACTATTGTTTTTGAGTAGATTCTTTTTACCTACACAATCTGCAAGGGTGTATTTGATGACTTTGAAATTATTGCATGTACATTCTGAGCGAGAAAACATATTCGGTTCAAATTTTATTTCATTATTAAAAGATAATTATAATAATCATAACACAATGAACAGATGCAAGTTTGATGATTTTTTTAGACTCAAGATAATGCGCTCTTATGTTTGACACTTCACTATATATATTTCCCTTGCTTCCTATACATTTGTGATTCTTTTTTATCGAGCTATTCAATTGAAAATCAAAGGAATTGAATTGGAAGGAGAACAAATTGTGTTGAGGCAGCTTGATCTCAGAGTGAGATCATGTTTATCTGACTTGCTGGGTCAAAACTTGGTTAGGACTTCATCAAGTGTCATCTGATCAGGCATGTTTGACCAGAACTTGATGTAAAGCCATTTGTAGTTTATAGGGTCCAATATACTGGCTCGAAACTTGATCAAGTTTTCATCAAGTGTCATCTGATGAGGCATGTTTGACCAGAACTTGATTGAAAGCCATTTGTAGTTTATAGAGTCCAATATACTGGCTCGAAACTTGATCAAGTTTTCATCAAGTGTCATCTGATCAGGCCTGTCTGATCAGAACTTGATCTAAATTCGCTTGTAGTTTTTAGGATCCGAAACTTTGGATCAAACCGTGGTCAGGTTCTGATCAGATCTTACCTGATCAAGCGAACCGCACTGAAACTGAATCAAGTTCTGATCGGACTTCAAGTAGACCTGAACTAATTTCCACTCGGGGTGTTACGCGATTCAGAGGGAGAATGCCTCGAGAGTATGTAATGAAACGCCGATAATGGCCGAAAGAGTTCCCAGTAAAAACATAAATCTCCAGTGTCATTAGTCGCTGCAATCCCTCTCCCAATTGTTGCAAAATAGAACCTAATATACGATAATTGAATCAGAAAATGCTCGTCGCTACAAAGGCCTCCATAAGTAATAGATTGAAGCCTCGAGATCCCAGTATTTCGCCGAATAAAATAAAATAGATAATAAAACGACCATAAATTCCGAAACAAAATGTAAGAGAGATAAAAGTCGTTACCAAATCCAATCAAAAGCACGCAACTCGGACATGGAGAAGAACCCGTAAAATAATCACGAGTTGACCAAATAATAAAAATGAGCAAAATTTACAAAAATCTCTACTGAACGAAATTACACAAATCAGGAAATCTGAACAATATCAAATGGCGCCAAATATCATGAATGAACAGCCAAAATCCATGAAATGCGTGATTGCTTCTAATTGTTAACAAAACACTTCTTAATAATTTTATTCATCGCTCACCGGTATTCCAGTCGACCAGTCCGTGGGAAGCAGCAAATATTTCCTTAGAAAACGCGAAATCTCCTCTGTAGTCTGGATTTTGATCAACATGGCCCTCTAAAAAGAACGAGTTAGAGCAGGGCCCGGCAACCTGGACTCATTTGGCTCACGTGGCTCGCGAGCTTTCTTAGTGAGGGTTGGGAGAGTGGCCTCATCCACTTAAAGAAACTACCTGCTCTAACTTGATTATTCTCTTCCTTGAGCGCGGGTTCGACCGATACTGGCAGAGGGTCATCGTCCGATTGAGCAAGAATTTTAATTTTCCTTCAATTTGAAATATAGATATGATTTTTTGTATTCGAAATAGGCAGCAATATGAGGAAAAAGTATTTTTTCGATGCTTTCGTGATGAGGAATCACCCTTCACAGAGTAGACGGGAAGTTTTTCATAGCGTTCTACATTTTTGTGACGTCCAAGGAGTCCTTGGATAGGATTTGGATTAGGTAGGAAGGGGAACAGCACAATTCTCGACATAATTTTTACAAGAAAAATTACTGAAAAAATGGATAGTCCCGACCGGGATTTGAATCCGGGAGCTTCCGATTATGCATCGGGTGCTTTTTTTCAGAGTTTCCTTATTTTGGTTCTTTGGTTTAACAACATTGCAGGCTTAAAATAGACTCCGTGTAAGAAAAATAAGATATACGATATGAATGAGAGAGGTGGTCTACAAAATACATCTCACTCATCAGCGATTTCGGCCCATTACGGGCTAGTGGTGTGGGGAGTATCGTGTCTGGACTGAATAATTTCATGGTGTCAGTATTTCGTTTTAACGTTGAGCTTGCGGGAAAATTGGGACCGAATGGTAAAAAAAACTACGAGACTTGGGTGAGTCTTATACTTATACTGGGCAGGCGTAGGTCAGGAGGGGTCTGACGAGCTGTAAATAGCAGATTATGCGGGCGCGGCGTGACATCAGGTGATTGTGGAAGAGTCGTTTCAGAGAGTGGAATCTGTGTTCTGCTCTTTTCAGCGGACTGTTTACCTAATTGGAGTAGCGAGCAAGGTGGTCAATGTGGACCCCCAAGTATTTGACTGCATGCTTGCTGGGGATTGTTACTTCTGCTCTGGTATCCTCTTTAAACGTAGAAATTTTTTAGGGCGTTGATTCTGGGCAGGTTGCACCTGTTGATTTCCTGGGTTGGTCTTGGTATGAGAATAGTTTCGCACTTGTTTTGACGAGAGTGCGAAGAGTCGGCTGGATGCTCTTGACGTTTTTTCGTAGCACATAGACTCTAAGGTCATCGGCCTAGGCAATTGAGTGTGTATTGATGGTGGTGTGGATGCCGAATGAGTTAAGGATGTCGCTGGTGTATATGGAGGAGAGATAGGGGGAGTTCACTGGGCCTTGTTGGAGGCCTTCCCAGATCCGGAAACATTTGCTGGATGAATGAGTCCCGTGTCTCCTGTAGAACGTCCTATTGCTGATCCTATCCGATATGAGCCTGATCAGGTTATTAGGGATTTTTTTTTAAATGAGGGTGTATACCACCCCATCCAGCCAAACGGAGTCGAAAGCTTTTTCGAGGTCTATGAGTCTTGCAACTACCATGTGCTTGTAGTGGAGGGCTTTGTTTACATCGGCGAGGAATTTGTGTATGGCATGGGCGGTGGAGTGGCGGTGGTGGAACCGAAACTGGTTCTCGGGGATTATTTTCTTTTGGTTGCAGTGCCGGGTGATCAGGTTATCGATAATTATTTCGTAGATTTTGCTGAGGTTGGGTGTGAGGCTGATGGGGCGGTAACTGGAGGGGTCATCGCAGGGTTCCTCCTTCTTCAGGATTGGGAATACCTGTGCTACTTTCCACATTTTGGGGAAGTATTTGTTGTTGAGCGAGTTGTTGATGAGGGTTGTGAAGTTTCTAATAATGTTGAGGAGGAGGTGCCGAATTATGACAGTTGGGATTTTGTCAATGCCACTGGATGTCTTGTTTGGGAGCTTTTTGACTATTGTCGCTATTTCTGCTGGTGTGGTGAAGTATCTCTGAAGGTTGTCCTCCTTGGGGTTGTCTGCTCGGTTAGAGCTGTTGAACGTTGTGATAAAGGTGTTGTTGGGTTTTTGTTCTTCCATGGTGCATTTGAAGAGGGAGATTTTCGTGTCAATTAATTCTTTGAGGTATGTGCCGTCGTTGAGATGCCGGGGTGAGTTGATGGACTCGTAGAAGGCGCCTATTGCATTCAATTTACTGGTTGAGTCGGTGAAGATATACTTGCCGTTGCGGGGGG